TTTTCTCTGCCTCAGTTTTATAACGTGGGCTGTGTAGCAAGCAGATCTGTACATCTGGCTAGAATTATGCTTTAGTCTCACTTTTTCTTTAGGGAGTTAGCAGGGCACAGAAAGATTGAGAGTAAGTGTTTAGGCTTGGGGTCGATTCGTACGATGCTAAGACTGCCTCTCAAACTATACCCAGGATGATGCTCTCGCTTGGAAAAACCAGTTTCTTGCTAAGAGAGAGCCTTAACCTGTTTAGCTCAGAGTGGCTTTGTCAGCTGGTTATGTTAACATAGTGCTATTAATTTATTTATAAATTTGTTACTTTATCCTGCTTGAGGATTGCTCAGTTTTGGGTGTATACAGTCTTGGTTCTTCTGAACCACAACTGACTGTGCTCTGTTCACCCAAACACTCTTTTCCCTAGTGATCCTTGTTTTGGCAACTGTCTCCTTTTTCTCAGCTCACTTACCACCGCTTGTTTGCAAAAGGCCTGCCTATAACTGCACAGGCCTGGAGCTTATACATTAGCTTCCAAATAGGGACAGCGTAGCAGCTCTCTGTAAGAGATTTAGGCCACTAAGGGCGGGTGAAGCTGGTGCCCTGCAGACTCGCCAGTGTCCTACTGGCGTGGAGCAGCCCTGACACCGGCCTTTATCTTGTTTGGCTGCAAGAGGAGAACTCGAGGTGGGGGGAAGGGAGAAGGAGGAGCCAAACGCTTAATCCTGAAGGACTTTTAGGCACAAAAGCATTTACAGTGAGTATAGTCGGCAGATTCCCGGCTTTTCTATTCTTTTATTTAAGAGAGAAAGTTACAGGAGGTGGGCAGCTTCACTGGCTCTGTAGCTGTGTGTTTTCCCTCCTGGTTTGGTGGAAGAACACTCCTGACTTAAATGTGTCTTACTGAGGTCGATTGCACTCTGCTAACGTCAGGTTCCAACACTCATGGACTCTCAGGGAGATAGCAGAACCAGTCCCTGTTAGTAAGCGATCCACGGTATGTTTTTTCTCTTTCTATAGGGTGACCGATAGAATGTGGTGGGGAAAGCCCTCCCACAAATTTAAAAAAAAAAAGAGAAAGCTTTAAAACCTTTACTGCTTTCAGCTTTTGCACTTGAAATGTTGAGTCTTCTTTGGATTGGTGGAAAGGAAAGGATTTCAACTATGTTATTTTTAACAGCAGCTGGGATAAAGGTGGTATTATTGGTATTATCTCTAAAGCTGGAAAGGTGGCCACAGATAAGCATTTGATGGGGGAGGGGAAAGGGAGGTCATTGGGTTCCGAGAAGCTGGTTGATGGGTCCTCTCACGCAGCTTTGGACCAGAGTTGTCACTGGGTGGGTACCTGTAGACACTTGGGTCAGGCTTTCGTTCGCATCGTCAGAAGTTGTTGTCTACTGGCTTTTTTTTTTTTTAATTTCTCTGTGACTAGAAAGGAATCTTATTACAAGATGCCTTGTAAAGGACGAATACAAAACTTATAGTATTTAGGAGAATGTATAGACATGCTGAATTTAATACTATTTGCTTTCATTAAAATGGAGTAATTAATTTGATGGAAAAGCAAGCTTGAATAGTCATGACAAAGGCAGGAAAAATACGCACAAAGATTCTTACTATACTTCTCCCCAGTGTGAAGCAATTTTCTTTTAAATTGTAAATTTAAGTTACCTTTGAAATCAGATGTGATTTTGTGAAATCAGAAATAGAGTTTTGTTATGCATGGGTGGTGCATTTAAGTGTGAACTACTAGAATTAAAAATTAAATGTTCCTGGTAATTACTTTCCATTAAAATGGATAATTAATTAATTTTATGCCACTTCCATTCTTGCTATGCTGTTATGACACACATGGTATTCCTTTCTCAGTGGCAAAGGTGTATGTGAGGGAAGGTAAATAGAAACCGAAATAAAACTTGAGTAAAGCACCTCTTTGCTTTCCTTCTCTGGGTTTTGGAATTCTCTTGTTTATAGTCTGATCAGTAAAATATGGAAACATTGAGTGAAGTTTGAAATTTTACATATGCAGGAAAATTCTGTTTTGGCAAAACTTTGAATGTAAGGTTTCCTTGCTCTTTACTCATGTGTGATGCACGCCAGCTACATTTTTGTTTAATGTTTTTATTTTATTCTGTGTGTCCTCTACGTGCATAACTGAATCTGTTGTCAGTCTTAAGTTGCAAACTCCCGGAGGAGAGAATCTCCCATATTCATTCCTCTGGGAAGAATTAGCAACAGATAATGTGTAAATAGCAGTTTACAAAATGTGTTTATATGGTAATTCTTTCTTTCTTTCCATGAAGTAGGATAGATCTATTGATGCTCTTCGTGTGCTCTGGTAAAACGGAGGCCATCGTTTTGTTATATGCACAGCTCTCAGTATAGGCAGGTTGCTTCCAATCAACCTTTCAGGCTGCTTTGAAATCTCTGGATAAATGACCCTAGGTAATCACAGATTCCTAGGGTCAGATGGGCTCCTACTGATTATCCAGACCAACTTTGTCATTTTACAGATGAGGAAACTGAGACCCAGAAGTGTGAAGCATCTTGCCCCGAATCACACAAAAGTGCACTGTGCCTGCCTGGTGCACAACCTGATGGTACATGTGGAAATGTGTGTTGGGACGTGAATTGTGCCCAGCCAATTCTTTAGTATATTCTTTAGTTACAGTAGGATATGTATTCCAGAAAAGGCCCTGCCTTGATTTAGGAGTTTCAGAGGAGACACAATGACCAAGCATTGTTTTTTAGGTGTGCAGGGCTTCTTGGGCAGGGCTCTGGAGGTGAGTGTGTGTGTGGGTGTAGCTGAAACAATTCATTGAACACTGCCTTGGCACTTCGTTTTCTGGTTTGCATGAGCCTGGTTTCTCAGAAGAGGGAACCACTGTGACACCAGTGTCTTCTTCTTCATTTATCACCAGTTCTATGACCTTGAGCTAGAAACCTTTATTAACCTTTGTGTATCAGATTCCTTCTCTGGGATTGTGATTCTAAACAGATGCCCCAGAGGGCAGTGAATTGATTAAAAACCTAAAAATGCTTTGGGAAATCAGAATCACAGCCTGTCCGAAGCTAGGGTATAAAGAAGTAGGATGGTAGCTCACTCTTCCTGGAGTTTTGTCCCTCCCAGTGAAATTTTGATATCTTCGAATTGGTTTTTAAAAACAGCCAGATCTAGTGTTATTGTTATTTTAAAAACTGTATGCCAGGGTGGTTAAAATTGTGGGGCGTGGGTTTCTCCCTCTTGCAATCAGAGAAAGTTGTTGAATTGAAGCCTAAAACTATTCTTCAAGGCAGGTACCGAAGTGATAAACCTACTTTATGGCATAATATTTTGCTTTTTGCAAATAACTGCTTTCAAAAATTCATCTATAAACCTCCTTATCATTTAATTCAAAAGTTAAATGCTTAATAAATTGGGGAGAGCCAGTACACTGCAGCATCGGAAGGCCCGTGAAATGATATGTCATAGGAGGACCTTATTGTTAAGGCTTTTGCTAATTCAACAAGTCTTTTTATGCCCGGTGCCCATTCCTGTCTGGAAAGTTACATGTTCCTAGTCAAATTGGGAGATTTCTTGATTTTTTTCCCCTCTATTTTTGTAGGTAATTTTTCTTTTGTTACTAAGAGAATATTAAGAATCTAAAGAAATACAGGCTACTTTCTGAGACTCACACTTAATTTCATGTTTTGGTCGGCCACATTTCATCTTTGGGAGAATGGAGCTATAAACTAACTTGAATGTGTAGAATAAAAAAAAAAGACATAAAAGAAGAAGAAGCTCATTGCCTTGAGTAGAAGAAGCTGCTTCTGAAACTAAAAATAATGTTTAAAATGTTTAAAGTACAAGATCCTAAAAGTTTTTTATATTAGACTGGTTCCAGAAGAAAGATAAGTCACATAGCTAAATTATTAGTAAACTCATCAACTTTATCTTAAAAAGCAACCTTACTTTATTATGACTTACACTTACGTTATTCTTAACATATCCGATTAGCATTTTAATGTTTTGTGTTTAAGAGCAACTTAATATTCTTGAAATTCCAGAAGCCTCTAAAGGTTTCAACATAACCAAATATTAGTGTAATTTAGATTGAGAGTTTAATTAGATAGATTGTATATAATCCATGATCTATGCTTTTCAGGAGAGTAAAGTTTTGAAATTAGTACGTGATATCTATTTATCTAACAAATCATAGAAAGGAGCAACCTCTTCTGAATTCAGCGGTGTTTTTGCTACTTAGAACATGTTCCCTCTCTAATTATCCTATTTATTGAATATATTGGATATAATAGTCAAAAGGATGTTTGGATGCTTGTAGTAGAAAAGACCAAAATAATAGTGGCCTGAACAAGATAGAAGTTTGTTTTTCTCTCCATAAAAGAAGGCCAGGGCAGCACTGCAGGACTGGCACAGTAGCTGCTCATTTTCATGTGGAATCCATACTCCTACCATCCTGCTCTGCCACCCTCTACGCAGCCTTCTCAGAGGCGTCTCCTGGTCTGAGATGGCAACTGGAACTCTAGCCGTTAAGTCCACATTATAGGCCAGAAGAGGGGGAAAAGCAGAAAGGCAGAAAGGGGACCCCTCCTAACTGAGTTAGCTCCCTTTAAGCAGCTCTCCCAGACTTTCTACACAGCAGTTCCACTTACATAACGGTGGTCAGAACTTAGCCACATGGCCACACCTAGCTGCGATGGAGATAGGGAGTGTAATTTTAAATTCTTGGCAGGAATATGCACAGCTGAATATCAAGATTTTGTTGCTAAGGAATGAAGAGAGAATGGATGTTGTGGTAGGCAATACCACATGGTTTTGTGTTCCTATTATATGCTGGGTCTTGGGGCTACTATGTAGAAACTCAAAACACCTCTTTCTGTTTTTGCTATGAGCTCTGGTTTCTTAATTTAGAAATCTGGCTTAATTTAGAAATCCTGTTTCTTCTGTGAAGTATCATTTCTTTATTTGGCAATCTTGTCTGACTCTTGCTTTCTTCTTTCCTCTTGCCTTTCAGCTGTTTTGGAAAGAAGTAAGGTTTAGACTTCTCCATGTTAACCATGAGTGTGACACTTTCCCCCTTGAGGTCACAGGACCTGGATCCCATGGCTACTGATGCTTCACCCATGGCCATCAACTTGACACCCACTGTGGAGCAGGATGAGGGAGAAGAGGCAATGAAGGACATGGATTCTGACCAGCAGTATGAAAAGCCACCCCCACTGCATACAGGGGCCGACTGGAAGATTGTCCTCCACTTACCCGAGATTGAGACCTGGCTCCGGATAACCTCAGAGAGGGTCCGGGACCTAACCTATTCAGTCCAGCAGGACTCGGACAGCAAGCATGTGGACGTGCATCTAGTTCAGCTCAAGGTAAGGAAGGTCTCTGGGTTCAGGTCCAAGGCTGTGGTGCCTAGAGCCTGAGTTCTGTCGGTCTCAATGAGGAAACGTCCAGGAAGAAAAATAGAAACCATCGTCCTTGTAGATAAACATGGAAAGAATTAATTCTTGCCTAATTTTACTTCCTGGGCTGATTATCTAGAATAAAACTACCCTTAGGGGTTATCCCTTAGGGAATAATGCAGAGAAGTGGGGAAAGGGTGGTCATTTTTGTGCAATATCATAGAAATCAGTTATAAACAATGAAACTATTATAAAAAGTTTAATAAAAAGGACTTTCATAGGTCCAACATCAAACTGTGATTGTGATTATTATCTTCTGGTGAAGTTGACGCTACCTTTATGGCAAACAATGGATTCTGGTATGATGGGGAAGGGCAGTATTCTCTTCCCAGAATGAGTCCTTTCATCCAGGTACAATGCACCATGCAGAACAAAGGGGCTTTTACAAAAACTCAACTAAAGTTCAGACATTAAAAAAATGTCTGTGGCTTCTAGAACCCTTAAAAAGCCTGACTGTGGTAATAATGAAATGGAGGTGCTGGTAAAGAGTGCTACTAATAGAGATTTTGGCCCAGGGACCCCAAAATACAGTGAATCTTGCCCTGCCATAGCGACTCCTCTCTTCCAGGTTCCTGAGGGAAACGCATGCTCAGGTCAGTGACCAGCAAAGCAAGGCAGATTTATAACCCATCAGGGCATTGGCCCCAAACCCCAGTGTCTTTTTTAGTCAGTTAGATGTGATCCTTAGGAGAATTCCTTTCCCTAAGCTCGTTCATCCTAAATGGTCGGAAACCAAAGACCAAACTGATTCTTGGATCTTAACAGTTAAATGGCTTATAGGATGCAGCCATCAGCGAGAGGAAAAGACAGGTAGTTAAAAGAGAGCATGAGCCCCAAAGCCTAGAGCAGAGCTGGCTCAGCCTTCTCAGGCTGGTTCAGCAGATCCTGGGCCCAGCTGCTGCATGAGAGTGTCCAAGAGAGTGAGGAAGGGGGTTGGGGAGAGAGAGAGAAAATGAAAGAGCCAGAAAGGCAAGGTGGCTGGGCTTCTCCCAGGTCGTGCAGGCTGGGGTGGTCTTCTTTCTACACGTTCTTGGGCAGGAGAAGTAGAAAGGGTAGCAGAGAGATGGCTGGGAACCAGCTTCAGTGGAATGCAAGCCTGGCCGGTTTCCCCGCTGTGGCAGCAGAGAATGATGTGTCTCTGCCCCATAAACACAGTTCCTTTCATCAGAGCAGCAGCTGTGCAACTCCTGGAGGCTACTGGGAGATGGAATTCAGCGGGCTCCACTTCTCCCCTGTGCTCCACTCTTCCCTCCAATGCTGCACGGACAGGGGGCTCCCGTAAGGAAATACAGGGTTCCGTTTGTAAGGAAAGTTGACTGCTCCTTTCCAAATTCTTTCAGATTTACACAGAAAAGATGGTAAATGATAAAGGAGAATGGTTTTTTGTTTTTTCTTTTTGTGAGGAAGGTTGGCCCTGTGCTAATCTTCCACTATTTTGTATGTGGGATGCTGCCACAGCGTGGCTTGATGAGTGGTGTGTATGTCCATGCCCTGGATCTGAACCCACAAACCCCAGGCTCCTGAAGAGGAGCACAACCCAACCACTACACCACTGGGCCAGCCCTCAGTCTCTGATTTTATAGTAAACATAATTTTCTTAAAGAAGCTATCCCTGATCCCTATTCTTGAAACACCCATGCCCTCCCCGAGCAAAATGATCCAGTCCATTATTCAGCTTATTTTTGAATGGTTCTTCATCGCTAGCTGCAGTTGTCTTATTTATTTGTTTCCTCTTTTGCGTTAGCCCCAAGGACCTCAAGTGTCTAATTCTCCACTGTATCCCTGTTGCCTAGGACAAAGACCGGGCACTTGGTGGAGGCTCAGATCACATCAGTGATTGGCTGGATGAGTATCCCATACTCAGTGGTTGATAGATGAGTCCGAGTCTGTATAGTCAGTGCCTTCCCTTTCCACAGACAGGCTTGCGGTGGAAGTCACATAAAGGAAGGCTGCTCACTGAGGACTGAATTAGGACAAAAGCACTGAGTGAATCAAGGTCCAGGTGCATTCGGGGCGTTTCTCTCCCAGGGAGGCGAGTCAGTGAGTGGTTCAGAAGTCTTGGAGGTCTCGCCTGAGGCGTCTGCCCAGGAGAGTCTGCTCTTCTTTCTGTGGGTGGCTGTGCCTGGGCCCCTTCCACCCACCCTTCTGTTTCCCTCTTTCTTTCTTTAGCAAGGATTTTGGTCAGTAAGCTCACTCTTAGGTCCTCTAGACCTGGAGCCACCCTTTTTCTTTAAAAGTCACTTTGCTTATGTTGTGGTCATTGTGTTTATCTTAAAGATCAGCACAAGTTTATTTGTTAGAGACCACTCTTATCAACCTTATTTCCAACTTCTTAGGGGAAGTTTTATTGTAACCCCCAGGATGAACTCCAAGCCACTATTATAAAGTTCCCATGTTGGGTAGGAGCAAGTGATTGTTCTAGAGAGCGAATAAAAACATCTAACCTTAAGATTAAAATATGAAAACAATGCAATATGTTATACTGTGAGTTTTTTTCCATTATTTTTTAAACTGAAAATGTAATCCACTTATTTTGCCTCTTAGCTTCCAGATGTTCTTTAGGAAGAAGTAGGAGAAGCCAGCTGACCCATTTTTGGAGTCTTCCTCTCCCTCCGCAGCCTCATTTGGATTCAGAGGCTGTGCTCTGCAGAAAAACTGGACCAAGAACCTTAAAAGGTTTTTGACGTTAACTGAAACTTCCGGTCTTGATGAATACATTTGGGTGCTAATAAATAGGCACATTAGGCACCTCCACTTCCTGATTAGCAGTCTTCTTAGAGAGAATATTATTTGTATTCCTGGCAGCATGATAGCAGGAAAGAGGCAAGGCTTAGGCTATCCAGCATAGGCTGAATGATGTGGCTGGATGACCATAGAAGTCTTGAAGTGGCTTAGCTGGAATCAGTTCCCCAAATAATCCGCTATAGAAAAATTTCACTCTCAACCCCCTCCAGATGAGATTTGTGTCTGTATCCTCGATTTGGGCCTGATTCTCAAAGCTAGAACATTCAACAGAGCCTCTGTTGACAAGATGTTCTGACTGAGCTTTACCCAGACTGAGACGCCCCTGACATCTGGAGTTAATCCATATACCCAGTAACCCACATGGGGTCTGGAGGGCTTGCTGGGCAAAAGGCTTCAATCCTTTCCGCAGTTGGAGTTGGCACGTCAGATGTGCCTGATAGCCTAAAGACGATGGAAGTCCTGGGATGGTGGAGCGCTTAGGAGAGGATTCGCCCTCATCATGGGGCAAGGAGTCTGTCCCAGTGCAGGAGGGAGGGGAGTGGTGGTTTATGGTAAAGTGTGTTCCCATCCTTGAAACCCATCCTGAGCAGCCACCTGGGCAGTGTGGGTACTCAGTGAGGAGAAAGGGCAGGGGGTGTGATTCGGAGGGCCTGTCCTGGCTGACTCTCTGCCTGGGCTTTTCCTCTCCCCTTGTTCGGCAGGTATAGAGGGGAGTATGTTCTCTTTCTCCCACTGCTGCAGCATGGCTAGCTGAGCTCTGCCTGAGGTGGTACCTAAGTGGCAGCTGTGGAGTACAGGGCCTGCTGGCTGTGACAGTGAGCAATACTCAGGATTGATTCTTGGGCATTATCTAAAACATGCCCTAGAATTCTCAGCAATTCTTGATAAAGGGAACTCTTGAGTAGAACTAAATTTCTTTTTTCTTTTTTTTGAGGAGGTTAGCCCTAAGCTAACATGTGCTGCCAATCCTCCTCTTTTTGCTGAGGAAGACTGGCCCTGAGCTGACATCCATGCCCATCTTCCTCTACTTTATACGTGGGACACCTGCCACAGCATGGCTTGACAACAGGTGCATCGGTCTGCACCTAGGATCCTGGCTGTCGAACCCCAAGCCATGAAAGTGGAGTGTGCACACTTAACCAGTGTGCCACCAGGCTGGCCCCGAGTAGAACTAAATTTCTGATATCAATAGTTTGAAGCTTGGAGGATTCTGATCGTAATGTTAATATGACCATGTGTTAAAGCCTGAAACATTCAATTTATACCATCTTTGAGAGGTTTCCAATTTCTAACACATCTTAAGTTAAATAAGCACCAGTTTAAGATTGAAGATCAAATATCTTTGTTTTTTGGGAAGAGTAGTTATTTTCCTTTTTGCCTTTCAGACCTCTGTTTTTCAAGAAGTAGGTCTCAGTCCATGAGTGGGTTGTGAAATTGGCTTAATGAATTAAAGAGCTAACAATGAAATAGAATTACCCGAAGTAAGGATAAACTCTATTTTGTGAAACTTGGTTTTAGTTATAGACTTATATTATATACATGCTTGGTCATGAGGTAGAATTTATGTCTTCCTCTGAGTCAAGGCCAGAGCAGTTTGATAGTTACTGCTTTAGACCCCTCTCAACTCTCCTTAGTATCTTTGACATGCATTTTAATTTTGGAACATATTATGGAAGTAAATGTAACCTCGTGCCAATTTTGGCAACATCCCTTTTTTTGGTGCTTATATGGGATCAGAACTCACATGAGATTCCCATTAAATTGGCAACCCCAAAAGCGTATTCCAAATCTCAGGAAACTGGAAAATGAAGCTGATTTCTCTGTTGGTGGGTATGAGGATGTTATTTTTTTTGTTTTTCCAAAGCCCAGATTTGTGTCTGTAATGTCTTTTTTGGTTGATGTGTCTTCCTTAGGGCTATCTTCTCAGGAAGGCTGGATACTAGGTGCCAAGCACCTTGGGAGTGTGGTTTCAGCGTAGTGCTTATCAGTGGAAAGGCTTTTCCTGCTGTTAGTGCGTAGATTGTGTAAGAATGTTTGGGATCATCAACCAATGAAAATGGATGAAATAAAAAAAGAACGTTTAATGTTTGAAAGGCTAATTTGAGATATTTAGGAGACCCAATTATGTGGAAAATCTACGTCAATTATTGAGTAATTATCTCCTC